TTACACCAGTTTCCAGAAACTCTCTCTAGTAAAGAGGGTTTCTCATTCAGTAATTCAATTCATTCAGTTGCAGGCAATTCAATTCATTCAGTTGCAAAGTATCTGAAGAAGACACCTTATTTTGTTTATTTTGGATTTTCCATTTATTGGCTTTTTTGTTTTGTTTTTAGACCACATAACATCAGCCACCACATGTCTGTCAGTTTGTCATACTGTGGTGACTTGTATGTTGCTGTGATGATGGAAACTATGCCACCGGTATTTTAAGTGCCAGCAAGGTCACCCATGGTAGACGAGTTTCAGATGAGCTTTCAGACTAAGACATACTAGGAAGAAGAAAAGGCAGACTACTTCTGAATTTTTAGCCACTGAAAACTTTATGAATAGCAGCATAACATTATCAGATACAGTGCCAGAAGATGAGCCCCTCAGGTTGGAAGGCACTCAAAATACAATTGTGGAAGGGCTGCCTCCTCAAAGTAGAGTTGATCATGATGATATCAATGGAGTAAAGCTTTCAGGACCTTCATTTGCTTATGGGGCACAATTCAAAATGAGGAGAAAAAGTGACAAACATCCATTAATAATAGAAACATGAAAGGTTCAATGTATGAATCTAAGAAAATTCTAAGTGATCAAAAATGAAATGAAATGTATAAAGATACATATAATGGGCATGAATGAGCTGAAATGGATGGTATTGGCCATTTCGAATCTGACAGTCATACGGTTCACTATGCTGGGTACAACAAATTAAGCAGGAAAGGTATTGCATTCATCATCAAAAAGAGCATGTCAAGATCTTTCTTGAAGTACAATGTAGTCTGCTATAGAGTCATATTCGTATGCCTGCAAGGAAGATCAGTTAATACCACTATTATCCAAATTTATTCACAAATCACTAAAACCAGTGATAATGAAACTGAAGAATTCCGCCACCTTCTTTAGATTGAAATTGATCAGACATATAATCAAGATGTATTGCTGATTACTGATATTTGGAAAACAAAGGTTGAAAAAAAAGAGGAAGCATCAGTAGTTGGATCATTGCAGAATCTTTCTTCATCAACATAAAAGGCAACTATACATGTAGAAATCACCAGATGAAATACACAGGAATCAAATTGACTACATCTGAGGAAAGAACCGGTAGAAAGCTCAATGTCATCAGTCAAAACAAGGCAAAGGGCAAACTGTGGAACAGACCATCATTTGCTCATATGCAAGTTCAGGCTGGAAATGAAGAAAATTAAAATAAATCCATTAGACCCAAAATATGAGCTTGAACATATCCCACCTGAATTTAGAGACCATCACAAGAATAGATTTGATACTTTTGACAGTAGTGACCAAAAACCAACAAAATTGTGCAGTGACATCAAGAACATCATCTGTGAAGAAAGTAAATGATCATTAACATATTTAAAAAGAAAGAAAAAAACAAAATGGCTGTCAGAAGAGACTCTAAAACTTAGTCTCCAGTATAGAGATACTGAAATGAATGGAAGAAATGAGGAAATAGTTGAACAGAAAATTTCAAAGGGCAGTTCAAGAAGACAAAATCAAGCATTATAATGAAATGTTTAAAGACCTGGAGTTAAAAAATCAATAGGAAAGAATCTGCTCAGCATTTCTGAAGCTGAAAACCGAACTAAAAATTCATATGTTATCCTGTAACATTGAAGAATCCTGTGAACTCCTGGTGTGGTACTGTAGGATCAGTACTGGACTGTGAACCAAAAGGTCAGCAGTTCAAGCCCACCAGCTACTCCTTGGAAACACTATACAAGGTCACTGAGTTGGAACTGATTCAACAGCACTTAACAGCAACAACGTACAAAATATTGAATGATAAAGAAAGCATCAAAAGAAGATGGAAGATATATAGAGTCACTGTACCAAAAAATTAAAAAGGTAAATGCTCACCCATTTCAAGAGGTAGCATATGATCAAGAACTGATGGTATTGAAGGAACAAGTCTAAGCTGAACTAAGGTATTTGTGAAAAACAAAGCTCCAGGAATTGATTGAATACAAATTAAAATTACTCAACAGACTGATGAAGCACTGGAGACGCTCACTTATCTATGCCAAGAAATTTGGAAGACAGTTACCTGACCACTGATTGGAAGAGATCCATATTTGTTTGTATCCATTCCAGAGAGATGGACCAGTGGAATGTGGAAACCATTGAGCAATATCATTAATATCACGTGCAACTAAAATTTTGCTGAAGATAATTCAAAATGGCTGCAACTACATCAACAGAGAATTGCCAGAAATCCAAGCCAGATTCAGAAGAATACATAGAGCTAGAAATATCATTGCTGACATCAGACAGATCTTGCCTAAAAACAGACTACTAGAAAGATGTTTACTTATGCTTAGTTGACTGTGCAAAGTCTTTCAACTGTGTAGATCATTGCAAAGAATGGGTAGTCCAGAACACTTCAGTTTTCATGAGAAATCTGTACATCAACCAAGAGGCAGTCATTCAAACAGAACAAAGAAATGTTGAATGGTTTAAAATCAGGAAAGGTGTGTGCATGTGTCAGGGCTGTATCCTTTCACCATGCTTATTCAATCTGTATGCTAAGTAAATAATCCAAGAAGCTGGATTACATGAAGAAGAAGATGGCATCAGGATTGGAGATAGCTTCATTAACAAGCTGTAATATGCAGATTATACAACCTTTGCTGAAAGCAAAGAGGACTTAAAAGATTTATCAATGAAGATCAAAGACCACAGTCTTCAGTATAGAATGCACCACAATGTGAAAAAAAAAAAAAAAATCCTCACTACTGGACCAATATTATGATAAATGGAGAAAAGACTGAAGGTATCTAAAACTTCATTTTGCCGGGATCCATAATCAATATTCATGGAAGCAATAGTCAAGAAATAAATGACATATTACACTAGGCAGATCTGCTGCACAAGACCTTTATAGTGTTCAAGAGCAAAGATGTCAGTTTGAGGACTAAGGTGTGCCTGACCCAAGCCATGGTATTTTCAATAGCCTCATATGGATGTGAAAGCTGGACACTGAATAAGGAAAACCATTAAAGAACTGAAGCATTTCAGTTATGATGTTGGAGAAGAATGTTGAAAGTGCCATGGACTGCCAGAAGAACAAATAAATCTTGGAAGAAGTATAGCCAGAAGGCTCCTGGAAAGAAAGGATGACAAGACTTCATCTATCATACTTTGGACATGTTTTCAGAAGATAGCAGTCCATGGAGAAGGGCATCATGCTTAGTAAAGTGAAAGGTCAGCAAAAAAGGAGAAAGGTCCCCAATGAGATGGATTGTCACAGTTGCAGTAGCAGTGGGCTCAAACATGACAATTGTAGTACAGGACCACACAGTGTTTTACTCTGTTACGCATAGGGTCACTATGAGTTGTAGCCGACTCGACAGTACCTAACAACAACTAACATTGAGGTATTCAAAACAAGATTACTGACAGAATAGCAATTATTTCATATAATTTACTTATCTTTTTCCTTGCTCTTTTCAAGTTATGAATGGTGGGAATTTGGATCTAAAATCATTCTCAATATCCTACGGACATTAAAAACCCGAAACCAAAGCTATTGGGCCATCACTGTGCAGTAGCAACAGCACTATAATTCCATTTTGTGTTAAAAACTCAATAACTTTTTAAATTATCATATGGTTCATTTAAATAAATTTGCTTATCATTAAAATAAAGTAGAATCATCTCTTTACACTATACGTAATAAATATTCTGGAACTGCATTGGGATCAAGACATATATCTTTGACACCAATGTCTCAAAGAAGGTTATTTTTTACTAAAAATAAGAACTTAACATAGTAAGAAATTATTATGCACAGCAGGGGTGATGAACATCTGGCCTGCAGAATCATTTGATCTGACCCTGCTAAGGCAACCACAGTTCTAGCCATCACATTGTTGTTGTTGTTAAGTGCCGTCAAGTTGTTTCCAACTCATAGCAATCCTGTATAGGGTTTCCAAGGAGCAGCTGGTGAACTTGAACCACTGACCAGCGCATTAGCCCACAGCACCACACCAGGACTCTGCCATCACTTTAGGGGTGAGGTAATTAAATGTTTTACCAAATATAGCAGACTAATTTTTAAATTGATCATTTTTATGGCCCGCAAATGATGTTATAAGTATCCAGATGGCCCTTGCCAGAGAAAAGGTTCCCCACCCCTGATGCAGAGCATAGTGGAATACTAGTAATCACTCTCCAGCGCTCTCCTCCCTCTTCTGGCAAGGAACCCAGGCCTGATCAGGCAGAGTGCCTATTCCTCTGCTCATAGTAATCAGCTATGAGATGAGAATTTGACCAAAGACAGACAAGCATCACCTTGGGACTTTGCTACTAAAGGTATAAGGAAAGATATTCTCATAACCACCTACATTTGAAAAAATATGATTCTGAGACTGCCAAGAGCTATCTTGTCCACAAAAGGGAGTCTGAATAAAGAATGAAACTAAACAGACATGCAGAGCCAAGAGACAGTAAAAAAAAAGACAGGGCTACAGTGAGGCTTATTCAAAGTCCTAGATCCAGGCAAGATTGAATCAGCTTGTATCTTAGGACTACTCAAATACATGAGAAAACAAATATACTTTTTGTTTACGTTCAAATTTGACTTTGGTTCAGTCCAGGACTTTGAACTGGTTCATTCTGGTCATTCTGGTTCAACCCCTTCAACTTCCTGCTGAGAATCTGCATTTTACATTCCATTCTCCCCAAATATAAATTCTCAGCAGAGGGTCAAACTGGAATTAACCAGCTCAAAGCCCTGGTTTAGTCACTTACAGCCAAAAATATCCTGATTCAAAGAAGGTATAAATAGGATTGTCATTCAGGCAAAATCCTAAATGAATTATAAGGGGAAAAAAATCACAAAATAGTTGTTTAATTGGTTTCTTTTTTATATGTGAAGGATACTCAGCGGTCTGTAAGTAGATAGAAACTTAGAAAGCTGTTGCATATCTTACCTTGTCTGCTGTAGACCGGGGAATAACTTTTAAAGGTTGAGCCAGTGCACTCACACCTGGATCATGGGGCCATGTAGTCAACAGTCCATCACTACAGCCACTGGAAAGCAGGTTGCCATTTAGTGACCACCTCAGAGCACACACAGCTTGTTTATGGAGAAGAGTTCCAACATAATGCTGGGCTATCCGAACATCGTGGTGATAAACCCGCCCTAGTCTCGATCCACTGCACCAGAAGTAAAGAGAAGATTTATGTAAGAGAAAAATTTAGCCATATGACTATATTAGCGTTTGAGAGAAAACATAGTTCAAATTTAGCCATATGACTACTTAAGCATTGGGGGAACACATAGTTCATAGCAAAACTACTGAAAGATGCCTCCTAACAGATTCAAAAGCCAGGTGGAAATTCCTTGGGTTAATAAGTTAATAAAGATGGCGTGTTCTGCCTGGATGGTTCTTTAATAGATTTTCCTGACAGAGTTTCAAATCTGAGATCATGAAGTTATCCTTGAATAGATGTTTCTTAAAACGTTAATAGGATTTAGTCAGACATGATAAAGATAAATTTAGATTTATCAGATTTTTCCAGGTAATGGTTTGCATACTTTTGTTGTTAAGTCCGTCAAGTCAGTTCCAATTCATAGTGACCGTGTTTCCAAGGCTATAAATCTTTATGGGAGCAGAAAGTCTCATCTTTCTCCCATAGAGATGCTGGTGGGCTCGGATCACTGACTTTGTCGTTAGAAGTCCAGTACTTAATCATATACAGTGCTCTCGGTTTGCATACTAGATCTAGAAAATAAAACTTTCTAGAACTTGGAATATTTAATTTAATATTTACTCAATTAATATATATTTTAGTATATATTTATAGTAAAATGTTAGATTATTAGCTTAAATTGTTGTTGTTGTTATTGTTAAATA